GTCCTCCTTTTTTAAACCTGCTACTGGGGCATCCACCCAGATGCTAAATTAAATCCTTGACGACCACATTCACCTTTTACATTTGTAAAAATCATTCTATGGTTTCATTGGTGTGTTCAAATATAGGTGCATTTTTTGTTTTATTTTTTTTTTGAGGCAGCTAAGTAACTCCATTGAGCTCCAGAGAGAAGGGCAAGGTGCCTTTCTTGCAACCCTCCTCAAAACAAAGCTGTCAGAAATGATGGATGATGGGGCTCCGTCCACAGCCGAAGCCTCAGACCCCAGCTGCTCCCAGTCCAGAGTGTAAAGTCAATTTGTTCTTTTAATAAAGTCTCCCCTAAACATGTTTTGTGACAAAGCAAGCAACCATTTTTACAAAACACTTTCATTATCACTTTTAAAAAGAAAGGCTTACTTTTCAATGGCAGTTCCTTTCATTTTGGTTTTCATGTAGTCTGGGCTTGTTCCTGTTTGGTCGGTTTATGATACAAAAGCCAAAATACACAAATCTTGATCATTTGGCAAACAGCTTGGGTAAAACTATGTATTTTTCATGGATGAATTGTGCAGCTGCATGGGGTTTGTTTTCTAATGGATTAAATTAGCAAGCGCCTCCATCAAGGTCAATAAACAAAGAACAGTGCCCAGTCCTGCAAGTGTGACTCTGTATTTGGGGCCTTTAGAATTGCAGGCCAGAAACTGGCACCATAGAAATCATTTTCAGGTTGCGACACAGGCCAGCAAAATTGAGATGAGCAATAATTAAAAAAAAAAAAAAAAAAAAAAAGTCTTAACTGGCTGGCCCTGTTCCTTTTGCTCAGCAAGGGTCTGTCCAGGGTCTGATGGCAATGTGACATTAACAGATGATGTCAAGATGAGAGTTGGTACAAAACAAATGGAACATTGGATTTTTTAATAAAGTTGTTATTTATTATTTAATGAAAATAATATACTATTGAGGGTTCTTTAATTTAAAAAGGCTAAGAAGATAAAAAAACAAAATTATATTGGCCAAAACATGATTTTTTGGGGTAGTTCGAAAATCTTGTCCCAGCACATTATGTCTAACCCATTTTAATTTGGGTTAAACTCCCAGCTAGACTACATCTCCCATCATGCACCATGAGCCAGAATGTCCATGATGTTTCACCTTTGTGCTTTCTCAGATTTTTGGCCAAAATATTTCGGTATTTGAATTTGCATGCATGTTTGTGCTATGTTTTGCTGAGCTCAGATCACAAGACCCAGCTGTAACAGGACAACTAACTGAGTCACTGTTATGTCCTTATCTAGAGTAGACCAGGCAGTGATCTGATCTGTTGATGTAACCAAACCACAAAACAGATCTAAATCCAGACCTGAACTTCCTCACATCTGAAACTGAGCCAAGAGCTATAGGTTTCTGTACGGACCCCTGTGTCTTCTCTCTTGGTTATTATTAGTTATTGTTCACTGTGTTACCATTGCACCCAAGAGCCCGAGTCTTGGACAAGTACCATTGTGGTAGGTGTACTACAAATACAGTACAAAAGAGATGGACCTTGCCCTGAAGAAGTGGTCATCCAGTATGAAACAAGAGGGGCAATGGATACAAACAGGTGGGGGAGGGTAGTGTGATAATGTTGGACATACTAAGCCATGGGGGATGAAATCCTGGTCCTGATGAAGTTGATGAGAGATTTGCTGTTGATCTCAGCAGGGCTAGAGTTTCACCAGGGTTTTAGTGGCAGGAAAGTGACTCTTCCTTTAAATGGTGAAAATCAGGCTCAGCTGAAGTAAGTCAAGGCCTGGGGTGGCACTGGTGCTAAGGCTCACACATGGTTGACAGCCCAGAGGTCGCAAGTTGGAGGCCACAGCAGAAATGCTTATGGTGCAGGCCTGTCAGATTCCAACGAATCTGCAAATTCTGCTAAATACATTATTGTACAAGGACACAAAAAAGGAAAGGAAGTAGATCAGCCAGTGCAAAATCTGCTGGGAAATTGAATGCTAGCATTGCAGTGTTAATGTGCCGTCCTAGCTTTTGTTAAAAGTGATGGAGGTTAAACGTATACTAGAGTATGAGATCTCGCAACTTGAGACTTTTTTTTTTTCTTTTGTACAGCAGTCTGCAGTAATCTGTGTGCCACAGTACTGTGTCATGGCTACAAGTATGGTGCATGTTCAGCCTTCATCTGTTTTTCTCTAGTGCCTTTCCTTGCTAGATGGTAAAGGGTGATGCAGTGGAGAGCTACTGAGAGGGCAGGTTAAGCTTTAAAACTCACTTTTTTTTCTAATGCAGCCTTCTCTTTTGACTGCTCCCTTGGTTTCCTTCACCCACATTGCATTTGCCATCACATCACACTGGATTCCTGGAACCACCTTTCCAATAATGTCCATCCAGTTCCCTCCCTTTCACAGGTCTTTGAAATATTTCTATCAAAGTAACTACCCACAAGTCTGGGTTTGTTCTGCACAGCAAGGAGCCAGCCTGTGGGGCTTCCCTCGGTGGTGCACGAGTGCGGGAGCTGCATGTGAGCTGCACACAGCCGTGCACAGTAGAGGGGGTTCAACCAGGCTGCACTCCTCACCCCCACAAGCACTGGGCACCAGTGCCCCAAGTGCGCCCACCTGCTGCACAATGGAGGAGGGGGAGTGTGTATGGGGGTCTCTGCAGCTGCCCCCACCCCACACCCTGCCCCCAGAATCCCTGCACATATCCACACCCCAACCACACAAAATATACAAGACTAAGACTTTATTTAGAGTTATGATGCAATCATCTCCATAGTACACTACACAAACATAAATCATGACAAATAACATTTTTGTAATAAAATTAAAATATTTTATAGTAGGTGTTTGACTTTCAGTGTATGATTTGTTTTTTTCTGGTTCCAAGATGACAATCCTCCCCTCCCAAAAGGAGTATTTCCAGAGGCCAAAAGGAGGGACCTCTGGTGGCAAAGGTCAGGAGATGGGGTGGGACTTCTGGTCCCAAAATGGTGACCAGGGGCGGGGCACCTGTCAAGGGGCGGGGCTACCCTTGCAGCCCTTGACAGCTCACCAAAACTCATTAAGCAGCCCTCCAGCCAAAAGAGTTGCTCGCCCCGCTCTAGGCAGAGAGCAGCAGGAGCAGAGCACAAATAAGTTCTTGCCCTCCATGGGGAGAAATATAGATGATAAAACCCTCTGGGGAGAGGAAGCAGACAACTTAGAAGTACAGTGGCTTGTAAACTGCTTGGAGGTCAAAGATATTATGTAAGTGCACAGGGTCAAATCATACGCCCATTGAAATTGGTGAGTTCATTGCCATTGACTTTTGTATCTAGGGTAAAATTCTGGTTTCACTGAAGCCCTGGGAGTTACCTTTTAGGGGTAAGAAACATTTAAGTATTCAGGCACTCCTCAAATAGTCATCACAAAAGCATCTTATCCAATGAGCTCTTTTTCTTTGTCTTCCTTGTAAAGAAAATTTAATTTAAAATTGGCTTGAGTAACTTTTGTTTTCTTAATTGAAAGAAGAGGGACAGCCCCAGGCCCAATAGCTCATGGTTGGAGTTTCAGCTCAGTGAAAAAGTCTATGGCAGGATTATAAATCTGAGTAAAGCGGGGGACTGATTCTTTTAATGGCTATGCTGACAGAAAAGCAAAATGCATGTCCTATCCTGTCACGTTTTAGCGGGGACAGGATCTGGCCCAAACAACAGGAGTGCAAAGTTGATGACCCTTGGACTATTGCAGCTTGAGGTTCTAGGGCAAGATGCATTAGCATTCACAGTACAGATTGTGAACTTGGTGGCACCAGCTCCATAGTTGTTTGTTTCACTTAATGCAGCTAATGTTTCACTATTTCACCTGTACTACAACGGTGTTGATTTCATTGACAGTAGCCCAGTCAAGCAAAGCAAGCATGGTATGACCTCAAGTTAACATGTGCAAGTGAACCATTGAGAATGTACTTAGTGGTGTACCGTGGGCCTCCGGCACCCAGGGGCCAATGCTTGTATTTGTGCCCTCACCCGCAGCAGATCGCTGAGCAGGGGCGTGCTCAGTCGCTGAGCCTGGAAACACTGGTGGTGAAACTGGAAATTCAGCCAGCGCCCCCCACCAGGCCGGCACCCGGGTGCATGCCCACCCCCCGCCTCGCCTCCCCCATCAGTACACCACTGAATGTACTAGGTCTGAACTGCTCCAAGGCAGTGTGGTGCTACCATTGGAACTGGACCCAGTTGGACAGTCTCCAGTGAAACAAAAGTTCTTTGCAAAAATCCTGGTTCATTGACTCAAAAATATGTTGCTCAAAACCTCTAGGGTTTGAACATCTGCTGAATCTAGGAACCCTTCTTGGGGATTTCTGAGTGATCTTCCCTTTGGAGCAGGGACATGTGTAGCTCTTTTCAACTGCTCAGTCAAGTAGATGCTTTTAATAATTCCACCGTGTTCAGCAGCAAAACTGGCCAAAAAGTCAATTCCACAAAGCAGTTTTCATAGATTCACAGACATTAGGGGCTGGAAGGGACCTCGCAAGATCATCAAGTCCAGTCCCCCTACCATGGGCAGGAAGTCTGCTGGGGTCAAATGACCCCCGTAAGATAAGCATCCAAATGCCATTTGAATGAGTCTGGAGTAGGTGCTTGCACCACCTCTGGCGGTGGGGAGGGGGGGAGTCTGTTCCAGTTGCAGTGTTTGGGAAGCTATTGGTTCACATTAAATTTAAAAAACATTTGATTTTGGTTTGATTTGGACCAAAACCTGATTTTTAAATAAAATACCTGGCAAATGGAAACATTATTTTTCTAGCCAGCTCTTATTAGAATTCACTGAACCACTGGTTGTCACCCATTCATAGTTTTCATTTCCTGAAGAGTTGGGCATGGTTTTTCCCTCAGTATTCTTGCTTATGAGATCAGATGCCAGAGCTAACATTGTTAGTAGTGCCATTTAGGCTTTTTGATCATCTGATGCTTCCTTGATCTCAATTTATGCCTATATTTATCTATTTATTTTCTCCTTCACAGAATATCTGAGGAGTGAGACTGCCTTTCTGGAAGAATTGGTGTTTGGAAGTGGAGATACCATTGAACTTTCCTGTAATACCCAGGGCTCTTCTATGTCTGTTTTCTGGTTTAAAGATGGTATTGGGATTGCACCTACCAACAGAACTCACATTGGACAAAAACTCTTGAAGATAATTAATGTGTCATACGATGACTCTGGGCTGTACAGTTGCAAGCCAAGACATTCCAGCGAGGTCCTGGGTAACTTTACAGTCAGAGTAACAGGTAAGTGCTGGAATGCAGATGTTTTATTCTTTTCTTTTTTTATTTGTATTCCTCCAGGTGTTCAAAGACTATAAGAGATGTCGTACTGGGTCAAGACCATGGGCCCATCCTGCTCCCAGTGCTTAGTATCTCAGTAATACAGAGTGAATAAGGGGAAGGCCTATCCAGACTGATCTTCCCATACAGCTTCCAGCATTTTGAGGTCAAGAAGTCTTAATGTGGAGGCTGCAGTATACTGTTCTGTATTCTTTCTTCTCGCTTTGTAGGCTTCTACATGAACTCTCAACTTCTAGCAAAGTCAAAGTAGGCCCAAGGAAACACAATTTTCTGTAATAAATGTTACGAGTCTAGATATAAATACCATGAGAGCTGTAGAAATGGTGCTACCCTGGGAAAAACTTAAACCGCTCCAAATGCTTAACAAGCATTTTGAATTGAGTATTTACATAAAGGCACCTCTTTGAGGCTTAAGGAGACTGACCTTTTCTTTCCATATTCATAGGAGAAATCAGTGCCAAAGTCAGGAATAGAACCTAGCAGTCCTACCCACTCTCCCCCTGTCCTAGCAAAGAGATCACATCTATGCTGGCTAGACTTGTTTAGGGAATCCTGCTTTCACATGCCATTTATCTGGAATCTGGCACTTCACCTACTAGCCTGAATTCGAACAGAGCAAAACTTTCAGACAAACCTGGATTGATTAAAAGCTGCTACTGCCATTTGTTCAACCTTCTCTCATACGGTGAGGACAATGAGGGCTGAACAGGCACGTGCTGCTCCAAGGGGCCAAATGATTCTTGCTTATTAATTCCTAAGTCCTTAGTTAACTAAGAATGTCCATCATTATAGTACCACTGGATAGGTGGGTGGATAAACATTGATGTTGTCATTAGTTAAGAATGCCAATTAAATAGATTAAAGTCTAAAATGGCAAAAATATCATATACATTAAAAAAAAATGTATGGTTCTAGGCATATTTTCCATTCATCTCTTTTGGAGTTGAATATAAAGCGTATCACAAAACTAAGACCCTGGATAATCTCCAAGTGGATGCTTCAGAAATTTAAGCAACCACTTAAAAAAAAATTGTCCCTAAGCTTTTACTGTACATAATTCCTCCCAGAGACCCTCTACTGATAAGAACCCAACTGCATGCCCAAGACATTCACCCCACCCTATGGGGTCTGCCTCAGCAGAAATGTAATATCAGAACAAAGATAAAACCAAAGTGGCTTAACAATAAAAAATGAATTCCCCCCCCCCCTTTTTTTTATTTTCCTGCAAGTCTTGACAACCATCTGTTTTTAATTGAACCTCATTGGAAATGGCTGTGAACATTTCAAGGTCGTATCAATTAAATAGTTACAGAAGTATTTGCTTCTTGAAAAGCTTCCTTGAAAGAGGAGTGATTATTGGGGATGGGGAAAATATCCAAGGAACTGGAGATTGTTAGGAATGTTTGTATCTTCTTTTTCAAAAGTGACATTAAAATACTTCTGAGATCAGGGGGCAGCACAAAGGCAGCAAAGGGCAGCTGGTTACACACTCAAAGCGAACCAGCTGCCAGAGCAAAAAGTTGGTAAAGTGAGAAATTGTTTGTAATAGTGGAAAGGCTGATAATCCCCTGCTTTTTTAAAGTTTAAGCCCCCCTTTTTTTTTGCTCTTGGCTAATAATAGCTAATAACTGCTTGAGAACAAGAGGGTAACCTGAACCTGCATTCTGGCAGTATTAGGCGTCTTTGATTCTATTAGTCCACTGTCGTTACCACCAAAGTGCTGATTGTGGGGGGGTTCCAGCTTTAGCTGTCAGCAACATTGTGTTTTCAACTTTGAAGCTCCTGCATTGTGTGATGTTAGTGGCGCCTGTTATATTCACTTACATGTCTTGATAATTATTATTGATTGCTCAGTGGTGGACTCTAAGCAGGGTTGTAATTGGAGAGTGCGGTTTACATTCCCACATCTTAAAGGGAACATCAGTGAATGATTATAATTACTTCAATATCTAAATAAATATTGAGTGAGATTTGGGACCACAGTTCTCTGAGTAACACTGATGGAAATCTGAAGTAACACACTAGAGTCGCCCAGGATTTACACTCGAAATAGATAAAACCAGTGGGGATGCATAGGGGGTGCATGTGCACCCCCTGAGACTGCTGGTGCACCCCCTGACAGGCAGCACTCTGTGCTTAGGCGATGAGCAGGAGGGGCAGGCGGGAGCGCTGGTGCCCACCCCCCTGCGAGCACCGGCCGGGGAGTGGAGGCGCCAGGTGAAGTGCCGCTGGCATTTCCAGGAGCACCACTTGCATTTTCCAGTTGGCATAGTTGGCCACAGGAGGACTCCCAGTCTGGGAGATCAGCTGTGAGGGTACCCCACCCACAATCGATGAGCTTGGCCATGGGGAACCTTACCCCCACCCCAGTGACTGGCTGCTGGCGGGGAGCATGTACCCCCCTTGACTCAGGTGGCACCAGTCGCCTATGGTAAAACTAGTCCCTTTGTATTGGGAGGTTGGAAGGAATTCAGAATAGTTTCTAGGTGGAATGAAGTCTTTAATAAATGGTGCCAGAATCTGGAAGCAGCATAGGTCTCGTCTGCCAGGAGATATTAGTGATCAGTAGGCACAGAACTGAATTTTACAGTAAGTCTGCATTAAATTCCAGTTGACTTCTACTAGTGGACACTAAATGAGACAGCTTACTCCACTTCCAGAGTGGAGTCAATAAACACTATATAGCTTCTCTATGCAAGCAACTATGTGGAGCGTAGAGTAGCTAACATGCTGTTAGTTCACATCTGAACCGGTTTTGATTTCCCAGCCCTTAATTCTGCTTCCAAGTTTCCATTTGACACTGAAGGTGAGAATCAAAGTTTGCACTGGGAAGCATTGGAAATGGAAGAGAGTGCAACAGTTTTTTAACCTAAATTCTGAAGCTTTAATTAAAGAATACAGTAATTTAGTCATGAAACTTAATGTAATTTATACTTTTGTCCTTAAAACTTGTGGTCCTAGATGTGGCTGCCTCTTAAACATCAGAACACTTACAGGGCTCAAATTAGAGCTGCCTCAAAATTGATCTTGCTTGCTACTTACTGGGCGCGTCTACACAAGATGCCCACTGCGCAGTAACTGGTGTTACTACACAGTAGCGTCCCAGCACTGTGGCCTAGCGATGCTTAATGCACAGTAGCTAGTTACTGCTACGCAGTATGTTCACATTAGGGTTTGTGCCCAGCAGCACTACTGCACAGTAGTAACGAGCTACTGTGTGATGAGCGTCTCGTGTAGGCGCGGCCACTGAGCTTCAGGTTCTGCAACCTTTCCATGCCCAGAGCTGCACAGTCAGTGGGGTTGTGGATTCATGGCAAAGGACCCCAGGTCTCTGGCATCTCCTGCATGTTGGTTTTGTCAAAAGAAAGCATACAGCAACCTAAGGCCAAGGCTTTTTTAAAAAAACAAGTGCGCCTAAATTTTAAGCTACTGTGTTCATCTCTAAGTACTTACCTGACTTCTGTGATTTACAAATAGAAACATACCGAGTGCCCACAGACTTCACTTTCATGTTCAGCATTTTTAAACAACCAGGTTACTCACTGAGATATCTAAATATGAGTTTAGACTCCTAATTCCAAACCCCTGCTTCTCACTGTGACTCCTCCTAAAAAGACTCACCATTTTAAGAAAGCAAGATAAGGCTGGTGTGCGTCTTGTTCTGTTCCATTTCATTCCCACCCCTCTCAATGATAACACGCGTCCTGATAAGAGAAGAAAACAGCATCCGCTCAATCTCTCTCACTTCTGGTCCAAGTATAGTATTGAATTAATAATTTGTTTTGTTTCTGGTAGTTTGAAGTATGTAAGTATCACTGCAATCCCATATGCTAAAATAAGGGTAACCAAATATCATGCTTCAAGGCACAGGGTCAGGAAGGATTTTACTCATTTCCACTCTCTTGTATGGTAGACATTTTGCTATGTTCTTTTGCCTTCATCAGGGACCATAGCAAATGCTGCCTTACAAGAACACTTAAATGGATGCTTAGCCCTCAGGAAATCCCATGGGATTTCAGCATGTACTTAAAGTGACGTGCCTGCTTAAATGCTTTTGCTGAATCTGGGCCAAAAACAGGATGCAGGGCATGATGCACCAGTAACCTAGTGCATTACAGCAACGTGTTCCTAATTCATTTGTCTGGTGACTATTTCTGACGCACTCTCCAGGTTCTGCAGAGAAGTTTATTTTGTTTTTTAACTTTATAAAGCTCAGCTCTACAGGCAACAATAGAAAACTTGCAAGAGTTCATCTTGGAATGAAGGCTGTTCAGCCTGACTTGGCCTAACCCAGATGGATTACACTTCTGGCCTCACAATGAACATTCATAAAATTTCCTGCTTTGTGGAGTATAATGCCAACGCTTAAGCAGTTGTAGCAAAATATAAGAGTAGCTGCATAGATAGTGTCATGCCATTTTTTTAATGGTTATTGGAGATTATGAAAAACGTATGTTAACTACAGTTTAAAAAGTTAACATTAACTCATACAAAGTTTGGTGGGCTCTACAGAGTAGCTAGTGCGGGAGGGGAGAGGGGACATGAGACATCATTGCAGGCAACTCCAAAAATGTAAACAAGATGCTAGACATTGTTAAAGCCACTATATTATAATATCATCATGCAGTTATATGATAGCAGTATGTTCCCAGTCTATCATAAATAGGGTTCAATTTTGGTCTCAGAAGAAGATATACTTCTGCATAAAGGATACAACCAAAAAAGAAAAAGTCCAGGAGTCCAGGAAATTTCCTATAGGTTTGGAAAAGTTTCTGTATGAGACGCTTCATCTACACATGTAGAAAAAGGCGCAGTGAGATCTAATGCACGATCCACACAGTCAGACCTCCTGCCTTACTGCACGTGCATGGCAGGAGGTGTGATTGTGGGTTTGCCCTATCCTAGCAAGAAGCAAGTTCCCACAACTGGGAGATTGCAGCTACTGGAAGCATCTGCAGTCTCCCAGCCCCAGGGCTCCATGGATGCCTGGGGCTGCAAGATCACATCCAGGCCCCATGGCTGCTCAGATTCAGCTGGATCCACCCAGAGTCCCCTCAGTTGGGGGAATCTCAGCCCCAGCCTCAGGGGAGCTCCTGCTACACATGCAAAATAAAGCTAAATAACAACCAGCTATAAAGTTAGTACACGTTTTCAAGGTCGAACTTTATAGCTGGTTGGAACTTTTTATGACATGATGAGTAATTTGCACATGCAGCTGAATTTGCACATGTAGCATGGTAAGTAATTTGCACAAGGTAACTGCAATTAACTGGTTAATTCATGTAACGTATAGAGGGAGCCAGAGATGTTAAACGTGTCGGACTGTGTAGCTTAGAAAGAAGATAACAAAAAGAGCATCAACAACAGAAATGTGTTAAAGGAATGATACAGAAGTGGTGAATTAGGAGCTCCCCTATGTCTTTTGAGGCCTAATAAAAAGGGAAAAGCTTTAAAACAGCTGAAAGGAAATATTTGAAAAGAATCTTTCCCTTTCAGTAGGCTGTTCCATTATAGAGCAGTTTTTACCTCTTTGGTAATGTATGAGCATGTGGTAATCAGTTAAGTCCTTGTGGTTGGAGTGGCAAGGGTACTGGCAGTGCCCTCATCTTCCCCACTTTTATCTATGTGTATTGCAAGGGGTTCCTGGTGTTCATGGATTTGTGCCTGGTGGTTGTTGGTGAGGGTTTGAAGGGGTGATTTTTGGGGAATCTGGATACACAGCTACCTGCAGCCATAGGGGATTGGACTCCATGGCCCTGTTGGTCACCACAGAGCAGATTGGTTGGCTCCAGCGCAGCCATCCTGCGTGACCAGGGGGACAGCAGTGCTGCACAAGCCCCGGAGCTAGGGGGTGGCAGGGGGCAGTGGCTCCATCTGGTGAGCCAGTCTGACTCGCCATTGTGCTGCAACACTTCTGTTAGGGGCTTAGTAGTGTCTAGTATCAGAGCCTGCTCCATATGACATGCAGCCTGTCCAAAGTCATCTGGACTGTAGTAATAACTGCAATAGTAATAGTAGTAGTAGTGGCAGTTGCTGTATTATGTTACGTGCTTCTGTGCAAATGTTTTGGCCAATGGCTCTATCCTGAATGGAGCCCCTGGCTGTCACTGTAGCCTCCCGACAAACCCATTCCCTGTGCTATGACAGAGCAGTGTTCATCACCATGCAAGAAAGCTCTGCCTGGCCCTTCCCTCTCACCTAGTGATGGTCAGAGGCATCTGTGCCAAGTCACCCATACCCCAGCGCTGAAAGCTTCACCATCAGGCAGAGCAGCACTGGGAAAGGAGTTCCTTTATTGAAGTCTCCTGCCTGTAATTAAGGCCTAATTAAGTGAAGAGGCGGAGTGACAAACTGGGGCTTTTCCCTGCCTGCCTATTCTCCAGCATTGTTACTGGAAAATCCTGCTCTGGGGGATAAGTGGGAAGAATCCATTCGAGGGAGGGAAGGATGGTAAAAGGGAAAAACACTAATTGAATCACTCCTGTGATTGCACCAGGTCAAAAGCCCTGCACTCAACCTAGGCCTTGGCCCTTCAACCCTTTAACACAGGCACTTAAATTAACGCACCATTCACAAGTCTGGTGCCGGATGTGAAGCACCTGCTTAAGTCTTCACCAGACCCCAAAGTCTTGCAGTGCTCCAGAGCTCACTATCTAGGGTCCACAGCAACCATCCTTCCTGAAAAAAAAAATACAGGGTGGCCCTCTGCAGACACTGTAAGCAAGTGGGGGGGAAAATGAGCAAAAAAGGGCATAAGGCCAAGAGCCTCAAAGCTCTTTATAGTTAGCTTGTTTGTTTGCCAGTCATCCCTGACACTAGATTGAGAAAACTCTGGCTGCTGCTAGCTCTGCTGTTTGGGTGGCAGAGTTGACAGCAGTGGGAATGAGAAAAACCTCTCTTGTTTTAATCTTGGATGAAATCCTTACAGAAAACTGCTGGGATGCATCAGGATTGGGTTTTGATAGGGGCCTGAGCTGACCTCCATATTCTTGTAAATATGTACTTTGGAGGTTTTTAGAGGGTGGGTTTTTGTTTTCTTTTTTTTTGCTTCTTTTTTTATCCCTCCACCCCCCACTCCACAAGTGATGGGTTCCCTCTTGGGCCAGCAGCCTCTGCTTGTGAATGCTTCATCCCTGTTCACACAAGTGACTGATAGTGTCCAAAAATAGCCAGTTAGGTGCACTAGAGTGCAACTCAATGCAAAAAAAGAGGCTACCTTTTGAAAAGCAGCACTCTGTGGTGGTTCTAAAACACAGTACACTGATCAGTGCTCTTTTAGCAAGGTTGACTTTATGCAGCCTTACTTTCCCATGATCTTTTAGCGGTACTGCAACTGTGCAGAAGTACCACAGAAATGAATGGGGAAACACCAGTGGCCTAGCAAGTGACTTGTGTTTTTTCTCCCTCCCTTTCAAGATTCTCCATCGTCAGGCGATGATGAAGATGATGATGATGAGTCTGAAGATACAGGTAATGGCTGCTTCTTGCATGTAAAGTCTCTTTTAAAGAAGCCATTTGTACTGAGAAAGGTATGGAGGGGTCTGTGTGTGTTGAATGAAATGTAGGAAATACAGTATTATCCCAAATGGAAGATTTCCAAATCTCCTGGTCTAATGTGGTTTATTTGACTCAAGTGACTGAATCCTTTTTGTGGCTCTGCTGTAGACTTGCTGTGAGACTGTGCACAAGTGATGTACTATTTCGGTGCCTCGGTTTCCCTGTCTGAAAAACAGGGCTCATGCTACTGACTTACCTTTTTGAAGTGCTTTGGTATCTAGAAAATTGATCTAAATACCAGTAATATCAATTGAACGTTTATGAGGTCACACCTGAACATCATGAAAAAGATGAAGGGGATGCCATTTAGCACTGAAATTAAAACCCTTCCCTGAGTTTGTTGACTAGACATCATGGGGCGTGAGTAGACGAAACGGGGGTTTACTTTGCCCTAAATTGAAGTGGTGGGTTTTTAAAACATTGCTTCCCCCCAGGGTGAAGTAAACCCCCGTGTTGTGTACACCCGTGTCTTACCTGCCTCTCTGCCAGTGGGCAGAGTGGTCCCTGGCCTGTGGGGTTGGAGCTAGTGCTTCCCTCCATGGCAGCTGTGGTAGGTCCAGTATATTTGCAATAAGGCCTTATATTAGCATGCCAGACCATCTAGATGGAATTAATTTTATAACTGTGGCATCAGGAGCTATGGTTATAACTTCACCTTTTATTTAAATTCTGGACAAACCAATTGTACCATTGTTTTGAACTACCAAGATATTCCAGCTCCTGAGAATGTGGTCCTGCGGGGGGTCGGCAGGTGTTTAAAGCCCTTCTAATGCATGATCTTCACCTTGGCCAGGGGAGCAGAGGGATGCAGGAGACTAGACCTCTCACTCCCTACAGACTAGTCAAAAGACTGGGTTTGCTGGTGCCATGAGCAACCCAGCTTTATGTTCACCCTGTTATGCTGTTGGGGAAATCAGGGCAAAATGTGAGTCTTGTCTTGCTGCCCCTGTTGCAGTGAATCCCTTTCACCCCTTGCACTTGGTAGGTTAAGTGCCGTGTCATTTATTAGAATTATTACATGCTTCGTAGGCGTTAGCGTTGTGTTTTATTATGCACATGACATTTCTGCAAAGCGAGCTGCTTGCATCTATGTGTTTTTAATAAATAAATGTCTTATATTTGAACTCCAAATCAGCTATGTACATTGGCAGAAATTCAGCATGACTGGAAAATTTCTTCTACCCGCAGCGTTAGACATCCAGGCCTCTTTAAAAACAGGTCTCCCACTGTAATAAATTTGTAGCCGTGTGACTTGGGAAAGGTGGACAGTAATTGTGAGTTATGGTGCCAGCCAATCCATCAGCAGCAATTAGTGGTTTTTCTGATAGCCTCTAATTAAGGGCTAGATTCTCCAAAGTAACAATCACCTCCTGAAAAGTTCTCAGCACCCTTGTGGCCTGTTCAGACCAGTGAGTATTGCAAATGATCAGCTGTTGTCTGGATTAGTCCTTAGCATAGAGAAACTCATTGATTTAGCACAATTTATCATTCTTTGCTGCCTTTTTTTTTTAATGTGGCTTAGGGTAAATGGTTTCCTCTCTTAGCAACAGGTATCACAAAACATGGGCTGTTTGTAGTACAAAAGGACACATTTTTCTTAAATTAAAAAGAAAACAACCCACAGTTTGCCCCATGTATTTACAGATTACATTCTGGGGCTTCTTGACTTTAAGGGTTTCTTTTTTTAGCATGGAAGGTAACCACTAGCTTCACATAAAGGCCCTGCTATAAAAACCTGGATTCTGCTCTGTCAAAAAATGATAGGTTTGATTAGCATGCCCAGTCAGAAAGCGGAAAGGCCTTGTGGCTAGAGAGGATCTGAAACTGCTTTTCACATCTAATATAGGTTGGACCCTCCAGTTAATCTTGACAGGTCCTTTGTTCAGTATTGGGAACCAATTCATTAACGTCTTTACTGGGACAGGGACACTTTGGTGATTGTGGGAAGGGGCAGAAAGGGGAATGCAGAAGTATAGCATTTCTACATAAATACATGGCCCTGTGTCACTTTCAAAGCCACCTACGTCTAGGGGGAACCATGGGGTTTAGGAGCCTCACCCCATGCTTTTCCACAGGGTCCAAGGTTAAGTTAGCTACTACATGTCCTCTCCCATTTGGCAGAGTTCACTATCCTGCTTACAGTAACCCTTTTTTTGTGAGGACTGTTCTCAAACCCTCTTCCCAGGCTTCGGTTCTCTGGACTAAATAATCCCAATTCTTCCAATCTTTCTTCATGCACTGTTTTCTAGACCTCAACCATTTTTACCTTCTGGGCTCTTTTTATTTTGTTCACATCTTTTGGAGAATTCTCCCCACAATAGAGACAGTACCGTGACCCTTACTTTTCAATCCGCTGTTTTATCACAGGTCTCACAGTACTTGGTGTTGGGTTGTTTTTTTTCTTGAAGCCCCAGCTTCTGGTGGTGTTGACTACGTGATGATAACCTCAGTTTACTTCTGTTTTAAGAAGTTTTTAGGACCCGATGATACAGAATAAAACTTGAGAAGGTGGCCTGGAAGCGACAGACCTTGAAGGCAACTGTTTTGATGTTATGATTTTTAAGCATGTGAACACTTAGGGCCTGACTTCAGGATTTCTAAACAGATTCATAGGCTGGAAGGGACCTTACAAGACCATCAGGTCCAGCACCCCTGCACTTGGGCAGGAAAGACTGCTGGGGTACAGATTCATAGATGGGGGCTGGAAGAGTGGGGCTGGCAGTGCTGCAGTTCCCTATGAACACAAAATCTCTCCTTGGGGAAACAAAATTCAAAGCACAGAAACCCCCTGTAGAAAGCCCAGACAATTCATGCGCATGAAGTTCCCTGCTCTTTTCATTTCCTTTAACCAACTTCTCTGCACAGCAGGGTGGAAGGGGAATCTTTCAAAACAAAATCCGTAATTTCAAATGGGCCGGCTGGCTCTCTTACAAATTGTGAGTCTCCATATTACAAATTGTGATCTGTGATTGAAACACAAGTGTTATCTGCAGCTGGTTGGGTTTTTCATTCTTTCTTTCTAGCACTAAAGCAAAACTAAAGCTCTCCCATCAGCCTCCTGCTCCCCAACTGTATCTGTTTGTTCAGAGTCCCTGCTGGCTAGCCGCTGCACCTTCAAAGAGCCAGTGTAATCTCCAATTAAATCTGGCTGTGTCCTCAGAAGCATCAACTGGGAAAATTACACAATTAGTTGATTCTGTCCGAGGCAGAATTTTGTGACAGCTACTAATTGTTAAATGAGCGCTCAGCTCCATTAATTATTCCAAGTATGGCTCCCATTTTTAATTGGTCATACAAGGAAGCTGGGCGCTAAGAGTCTTTGACAAATAAAACAGATCACCTGGCTGGGTAGTTGCCGATGGAAAAGGATTTAAATGATATTTGCTGTTCCACTTCCTTCACACCAGTGCATGTAGCATTGCTGTCCACAATTAGAGAGAATTTGTTTTAAAATTCACTTTAGCAAAGATGAAATAGTTGCATTCCAAGAACTTTTGGGTTTGTAATTTATATTGGGAGGGGGGGAATTAGCAGTATTTTTTCCCTTTAAAGAAAAAGGGATCCGAGTGCATGTTATACTGAAAGCATAAATGTTTTGTTAGCTACTCGTGATAACGCACATGGTTCGGACAGTGACACAGTGGTGCAGGGTTAGTCTTCATAACTACTCTGTTACTCGGCAAGCATAATGAGTCTGCCTGAAATATTGTGGTAATGCAGCTGTACTGCTTCTGGGACCCACGTTGGCATAGGTATCTGCAAGGTGCTGTGTTAGACCGTGTAGACATACCCTTATTCTTCCACCTAACCTGATTCCACTTGTTTCTGAGTTGTACAGGATTGGAGATTCAGCACAGGATTTCCAGCATTTCCAAGGCCTTTTCAGTTGTGTGGAACAGGACTCAAAAGAAGGGATGTCAGAGGATGGAATAGAGCACTTAATTTAATCCTTGTGTGTCTAGTCCTGCTTGCGCTCCCCTAGTAGCATTCTTACTGCCTTGACATTTTTTAGGGTTGAATCCTGCCGCTATCCAGTGACAAAACCACCATTCACTTCAGTGAAGATATTTGTAACCAATGATTGATGCGACCTGGACTGCTGTCCCGAAATGTGAACCTTGGTGAATTTTGATCTGACTGAAGCTAATTCCCCCCCCCCCCCCGGCTTGGAAAACCCCAAACTTG